GTGAGGAGGGCACAGCCCATCATGGTGGGAAGTCAAGGTAGCAGGAGACTGAGGTGGCCGGTCACATCACAACCCCCAGCTAGGAAGCACAGCTGAACGCTGGTGCTCAGCCCACTCTCTCCTTTCACTGAGTCCAGGACCCCAGCCCATGGGATGGCACTGCCCACACTTAGAACGGCTCTTCCCAGGCCAATCTAGAAACACCCTTACAGAAATGCTCATAGGTCTGTCTCCTGAGTGAGTCTACATCCTGTCAAACTGAGACATCAACCATCATCGCACAGCAACCATCTGTGTTGCAGACAGAACACCCTGGCTGCCATAATACGAGTCAAAATAAACACCCTTCCTGTTCGAGACTGCTTCTGTTTGGCATTCTGCTACAGCAACAAGACAGGCAACTAATAAAATAAAACAATGTATAAAGTACTCACAAATCCACACTGACAAAAATGATGGCAAAAAGTTGACAGGCAGGGCCAAGCTTGGGGAGGGGAACCTCCAGTGTGGAGGGTTTCAATGGCTGGTGAAGATGTGATTCCTTAATCGTGGGCCCTGCAGAGAACCCCAAGCTGATGGAGAAGGGATCATTCTGTCAACACTGTGATCCTAGTCTACTCAGTTCCATTCTCTGCAGGCCTTAGTGGCTTGAAGTTTCATCTTCAGACACCTCACTGTAGGTTGGAGGAGGGGAGCCTGCGCTCTCTTTGGAGCGCACCCTACCTACTTCCCTAGAGCCTCATCTGTCTCAGGCTCTGAAGACCGCTCATGGGAGTGGTCAGAAGGTATCTGAGGCAGCTACCAGACAGTAACTCTTTTATCCCACCCACTTTTCCTCTGTGCTTGGACAATGAGTGTGACTGGGTTTCCAGAAGGCCAAGGCTAGCCTTTAGTCCACCTTTGTTCAAACTTGAAAACTCAAGCTCTAAAATGAGAATTAAAAAAAAAAAAAAAAAAAAAAAAAAAAAAAAAGGTCTGTGTGAGAAGCACCCACCGTGTGGGGCTTAACAAGCGAAGCCTGAGCTGGACTTCTGCCCTGTAGCTTGCCCAGAAACCTTGAGTGATCCCTGGGCTGCACAACTGTCCTGCCAAGGGCTGTTCTCGGATGATGAGGTAACTGTGAGAATGAAAATAACTTGAAGGCAGAGTGAAAAATCAAAGCAGCCAAGTCCTGTTGAGAAGGGAGCTGGTCTTTGAGGCTTCCCCTTCCCCACAGATCGGCCGCTTTTCACTGTCCCCTTCCTGGCTGGCATGTGACTACCACCCTTCTGCCTGCCAGTGTGTCCCCAGGAAACTGAGGGCCTCGGCCTTTACACAAAGCAGGACAAAACCTCTCTCTCACTCCATGCTACTTTCCTGTAACCAGATGCCAAGTCTAATATGAACTTTGAACCTCTATACACCAAAAGTTTGGGTACTACTCCATCTCAACCAATCCCCTGTTGCTGCCCGGCTCACTTCCTGGACCTCCCTCCCCTGGCTTTCTGACCAACCAGCTTTCAGCCATCCTCTCCGGCAGTGCAGCAACAGAAAGCTCACTCCTGGAAGCAGTGGCCAGCAGCACCACTCACATTCAACTCCTGTCTAGCAGTGTCCATGCGGCTCCCGTTATACCAGACACACCTAATGGGGCCCCAGGGTTTCCCTGGAGATGATCCCTCCAAATTTGTTCTTAAAGATTTATTTTATTATTATGTATACTGTGTTCTGCCTCCATGTACACCTTCAGGCCAGAAGAGGGACCCAGATCTCACTATGGGTGGTTGTGAGCCACCATGTGGGTGCTGGGAATTGAACTCAGGACCTTTGGAAAAGCATGCTCTTAACCTCTGAACCATCTCTCTAGCTGGGGCTTCCACTAATTTTTCATAAGGACAAGTTCCCTCAACAACATCGTCTGGGAAGTCTGAACATGCGTCTTGTTTCACAGTTGACTTTTCTGTGGCTGTTTCACCCACCTGCCTGGCCTTGGGTTATCTGTCAGGGCCCGGCCTGGAAGCAGGTGTGCACCAGGCGGTCACTAACACCTGTTTGAATGCTGGCTGAGTGCTCAAGAGGATGCCATTCTTGTCACTCCCTGACTGTGACACAAGCAACCCCTGATGACAAAGCTCTGCCCACCCCTCTCATGCCCATATTTGGACATGATACAGGTCCACGCTGGCCATGGTCTGTGAGGTCCTGGCCCTCTTTGACCTCACAGTCCCCAGGGGCCCCTAGTGTCTATAAAAGGAAGCGTGTGCAGGCTCCCCAGTCACAGCCCACAAAATTCCACCTGCTCACAGGTTGGCTGGCTTGACCCAGGTGGTGCCCCCTGCTCTGAGCCAGCTACCGGCCAAGCCAGCACCATGGCCAGATACCAATGCTGCCGCAGCAAAAGCAGGAGCAGATGCCGCCGCCGCAGGCGAAGATGTCGCAGACGGAGGCGCTGCTGCCGGAGGAGGAGGAGAAGTGAGCAGTGGGACTGGCTGGGCTGGGTCCAGGGTTTCAGGGATTGGGCACAGCTGGGAGCCCCTCTCACCATCTTTCTTGCCTTTCTAGGGTGCTGCCGCCGCCGCCGCAGATACACCTTAAGGTGTAAAAGATACTAGATGCACAGAAATAGCAAGTCCACCAAAACTCCTGCCTGAGAATTTTACCAGACTTCAAGAGCCTCTTGCCACATCTTGAAAAATGCCACCGTCCGACGAAAAACAGGAGCCTGCTAAGGAACAATGCCACCTGTCAATAAATGTTGAAAACTCATCCCACTCCTGCCTCTTGGTCCTTGGGCTCTGGGAGGGGTGCGCGAATGTGGTAAGGGACATGAGTGATGGTCAAGTGGGCAGGGCTTCAAAGCAAATTCTCTATCGCCTCCCCAGCCACCTTATAGAGACCATCCCAGAAAGGTACGGGACCTTGTGCAGACACAAGGTTTCACTGACCCTGCGGGCTCTTGAGCCCCAACCCCACAGTCATTGTCATCTCAAAGGCTGCCCTTGATGTATAAGGCCTTTATGATGGGCAGGGCAGGGATCTATCCCCGATCCCTTCTCTGGTAAGCCCATGGGGGCCCTCTCCTTTTTTTGAGGCATGGTTTCTGTGTAGCCTTGCCTGTTCTGACTCGGTTTGTAGAGCAGGCTGGCCTCAAAAGCAGAGGCCTGTTTACCGTGCCCAGCTTCCTGACCCCAGGTTGTTTGTTTCCACCTTGCCTGAGTACTCTGGTTACAGGTATGTACCAGGGGCATACCTTTTGTGCCTGCCCAAGGCCTCATGTATACTAGGGGCTCACTGTCCTTTAGGTTTTTCTAGATCCATATCCTGAAGCCCTCTTTGTGTCACTCTGTTCCACCCCCACATACTCCACGAGAGGGGAAAGTGGTTCTGATTCTGGAATACAACCACTATGTTAAGTGGTTGGTTATATTCTGTGTTATGAGCCAGGGAGATAATCAGGTGTGGTGGCTCATGCCATTAATCACACGGGGGAGGCAGGGGCAAATGAAGTCTGAAGCCATGTTGCCTTTGGCTGAACTCTGGGCCTGCTTGATCCTTAACAGGCTTTCTGTGCCTCGGTTTTCCCCATGGAAGATACAAGGTAACAGTATTATGTGACTTTGTTCATTTTAGTTGTGAGCTGTGTGTAGTGCACATGGAGAAGGTGGGAGGAGTCTTTTCACACAGACTGGGAGATGATTGACTTAGAGTGCTTGCCTGGCATGCCCAGTAAACCAGGATGGTAGCACCATGCACTTGGGAGGTGAAAGTATGAGACAGGCTCAACCTTGACTTGAACCCGGTCCCTTTACCTTTACCTTCACAGAGTTCCCTGTCTCACACCAAGATGCTGACTTAAAGGGCCCCTGTTCCCAGCCTGTGAGCCAGTGCTGCAAACCCTGTGACGCCCTCACAGAGGGGACTGGGCAGGGTGGGAACAATCAGGGGTGGGCCGCCAGGTCACAGTGGGGTTCCCCTTTATATACAAGCCCTCTGAGAGGCCCCCACACCAGACCATCATCACCACCAAGAGCAGGTGAGCAAGCTTCCACCCTCCTCCTCCAATCCAGGTCAGCTGCAGCCTCAGCCCGGAGCCTCCTGATTGCCCAGCACTATGGTTCGTTACCTAATAAGGAGCCCCAGTGAGGGGCCTGGGCAAGAACATGGACGAGAGGAGCAGAGGCAAGGGCTGAGCCCAGATCACGCGGAGGACTATGGGAGGACACACAGGTGCTGCAGCTACCGCAGACGCAGGTGCTGCTCCCGTAGGAGGTTGTGTAAGATGCACAGGAGGTCGTGCAGGAGGCGGAGACGCTGCTGCCGCCACAGGAGGCGCAAAAGTAAGTGCCACCCAGCAAGGCCCTATCCAAACCCTGTTGCCTCAGGCAGCCTAGCAAACTGGAACTTTCCTTCCCCAAGGCTGCAGAAGGAGGAGGAGATGCAGGTGCAGAAGGTGCAGGAAGCACTAAGCCTCCCCAGGCACATCCATCCTGCCTAGAGCCAAGGAAGTCACCTGCCCAAGGAAGTCACCTGCCAAAGCAACGCCACGCGAGGCTGAACCACCATTCCACGTTGATGTCTGAGCCCTGAGCTGCCAAGGACCCACAAGATCTGAGTAATGAGCAAAGCCACCTGCCAAATAAAGCTTGACACCAGACTCACTGGCTGCTGTCTCCTTTTCATGACCGTCACGGGCCTGAGGGAAGGGAATAGGGACCTGAACCATGCTGCCCCAAAGAGTCGCCCAAGGGAAACAGTCCTATCATGAGTAGGACTGACTTGGTAGTAGAAGGCTTGCCGGGACCCAAATGGGGTCCATACTCAAGGCCATTTTCAGCTCCTGTCCAAAGACTTAGTGTGCCCTCTCCAGCATCTCCATGCCATATGGGCCAGGGTTCCAAATTCCAGGGTGGGTGAGGGTGGTGCCTTGGAGACTCTTTGTGAGGTCAGTGCCACGCCCTCTAGCCTCACATCCTCATTGCCCAGGTTGCCTGCCTCCTAGTCCAGAAAGACAGGAGTGGGCGATGGGTTCCCGCTGTGCCAAGCTCAGCATCAGCCATGGCACGGCCCAGAACACAGGTCACAGCCGTGGCCACGAGTCCTCCATGAAGAAGCTCGTGGCCTGTGTGAATCAAGACAACTTCTCCCTGTCATCTGAGGGTGAGGAAGAGGAGGAAGAGGAGGAAGAGGAGGAAGAGGAGGACAAGGATGAGGAGGAAGAGGAGGACGAGGAGCAGATCCCGGTGAAAGGCAAGCTGCTGCTGGAGCCCGAGAAGCAGGAGAGCACTGAAGACTCTGTGGCCCAGCTGAGCCCTGAGCCCAAGCAGACGCACTCCTGACCCACCATACGAGGCCTGCCCAGCACTGGGTGCCCATTGCCACTCCAGAGGAAGAAGGACATTCAGAAAAGACATTCAGAAAAGAATAAAGAGTCTCCAAGGAATTCTCCTGGTTTCCATCTTTCTGCGTGAACCCGTGCGACCTGGGGACACTGTCAGGGCTGGCTTACAGCTCTATAATAGCGTTGGGTGGGCTATCCCTCATTTTATAACATGGACACATTTGTCCTCCAGGTTTGTTCCTGGCCTCCTAGAAGGGGCACCCCTGAGAAGCACAGAGGAAAGGGTCCCAGTCTGCAACAGTCCTGACCCCATCTTCCATTAATTCCTATACAAAAGAAGCAGCAAGTGGCCTATGGGTGGCACAGAAAAGAAGGGAGTAAGGGCCATGCTGCCCCTTGGCTTTCACTCACCCTGCCACAGAGGCCTCCTGCAGCCAGCAACCCCAGTGTCACATTTGTTATGAGGACCTGGGTAGTGAAGCCCAGTGGCAGTCCTCAGGGGAGAGAGGAGGACCACATGCAAGGTCTCAATGGGGGTTTGGGAAGGTCGGTGGGGTACTATGAAGGATGAGCAGTAAAAACGAAACCCTCAAAATGTCCTTCAGGTATGACCCGGTCTCCTCACAAGCACTAGTGAGGGAGTGAGCGGAAAGGACAGCCAGGACATCCAGGCTGAATTAGGCAGGACGGAAAGGCTGATGTGGGTTGCCTCAGGACCTGAGGAGGCCTCAAGCCCAGCCTAGTATAGTGCAGGCACAGAGCCTGTGTTTTAGGTATGCTTCCCCAACAGGGGTGTGGGTGATACAACCCCGAATATAGGTGCCAACTAGCCACTGCTCCAGAAAGTTTGGATTTATGGGTACAGGATCCCAGCCTGTGCCTTTAACTGGCAGTGCCTGGGCTCAAACCCAGGACCTTGTACATGCTGGGCAGGCTCTTGTGACAGCTCTTCTGTCCTGTGAGGATACTTGCCAGTGAATGGGACAGCCTACCCAGCTGGTCCAGCACAGAATCATAATTCTTAGCGTTACATGGAATGTGGACACATCTCTCAGGGAGGGAAAGCTACTAGGATGATGTTCCCAGGCAAAGCTGGCTGAAAATCGTGGAGTAGGCAGGGCCCAGTAACTCAGGCAGTTTTCACAATGGGCCAAATGGCATGTTTATTAAGAAATGAACTTAGAACTGATAATGGTCCACACCTGAAATCCCAGCCCTCCGAGTGCAGTCATCCTCAGCTGTACAGTGTCTTCCAAGCCAGCTCACTGAGACTCCCTCAGCAGGTAGAGGAACTTGCCAGCACGCTGAGTCTGCGGAAAGAAACCACTCTTAGGAGTTGTCAAACACACACACACAGAGTGCTGGCCGTTTGGTGGTGAGAGGCAGGTACTCAGCGTACAGAATCTCAGGAAGGGTCATGTAGGCAGGAGGGTAGACAGAGTCTGAGGCAAAGCTGTGGAAGTACAAGACTGGAGGAGCAAACAGTTGGCTCTAGTAAAGTACCTGATGATTGGGAAGAGCACACTGGCCTTCAGCACACCTGACCTTTTCCATGCTGGGTGCTGGCGCAGAGGCTGACCACTAGGACTCAAGGCATCCCAGGCTGCTAAGAATGGGAGGAATGGCTCACATACAACTGAGGGGACCTCACAGCATGCCCAAGATCAGACTTCAATGCTCTGAACCTGACTCTCAACCTCTCACCTGGAAAGGCTACTGGGGGAGGTGGGCCCATTCCAGCCCCTAGCCACTCTGCGAGCCTTTGTACCAAGATGGTACACAATCAGGATACACTAGCTCATTGCCCATCCCACTGGCTATACCTCCCACGGTAGGCTAAGCGCTAGGTGCTGGGTGGAAAAGGAAGACAATTCTGCAGCTGCCTGTCTTAGACCTCTGCTCTAAGGTCTCTGTTAGTATTCCCAATGTTGTCTCTGTGAGGCAGTGCAATGATTATCCTTATTCCACAAAGCTGGGGAAACTGGAATATGGAGGCATGAACATACAGGGAGGTAACAAGGAAGCTTAGTTGTAGCCTCAACACAATCTGACCCATGGGATCCCAAAAGCTGCCCCGCCCTGGAGGGAGGGTGATGGGCAGGGCTTTGCCATACCTGTCACCCTCTGTGGCCTGTGCCATCATAATTGGCCCAGCTATATAACTAGGGGCTGTGGAGACTTTCGAAAGCTTGGCCTGCTGGGAGAAGAGGAGGAGCAGGAGGACTCTGTCCTTCCAAGTGTGGCCTCCCATGGACACCAAGATGCAGAGTCTTTCTACCACCCACTGCCACCCCCATGGCTCCTCTCGGCCCCAAGGCCACACCTGTAACCAGTGCAGCTGCAGCCACCACTGCCGGAGCTGCAGCCCGGCAGGCCACCCAAGCTCCAGCTCCAATCCCAGCCCCAGCCCGCCATCGAGGCACCCCAAACCAACTACGAAGTCCAGACACTCCCCTCCAAGGACCGGCCACCACTGTGGCAGCTCCTCCAAGAACAGGAAGACCTTGGAAGGGAAAGTGACCAAGAGAAGGGCTGTCAGGAGGCGGAAGCGGACAAATCGAGCTAAGAGGCGTAGCTCAGGTACTTGCCAAGTGAATGAGTGGGAGACACTGCTGTAGTCGAGAGCACCAGCAAGGCCGCTCCAGAGGCCCTTGGCCAGCTGGCTAAGCCTAAATTGGGAGGAGTGGATGGGAAGCATTAAAGTATTAAAAGCTTCTTTCCCAATCCTGTCTTTTAGGAGGAAGACACAAGTGATACCCTCCAGGTTGTTCCTGTGTCCATTTGATCCCAAAAGGAGATGCACATCACTAGGGAAGTGTTGGGATGATCTTACAGGAACATGTCACTGCAGCAATTTCTATGCAACATGGATTAAAGCTTGTACCCTCGAAGCCTATACTTGAGTCAGTTTTATTTTTGGGGATTTTTTTTTTTAAGTAGTCCTGTCCAAGCACTTTAATATCCACCCTGTCAGACAACAAACCCAAGTTCTGGAAGCAAAGATATCCATTCTTTAGGGATCCACATGCCAATGTGGGTCCACACTGGCACATGTGTGTACACAAGTACTTGGTGTTGCCTCTGGTGTAGCCCTGGTCCTCTGACAATTCCATTTTGGCTCATCCCATTCCCTTGCTGGGAGACCTTTAGTGTCCTATGAGTCTGTACCAGGCGGCAATCCCTTAAGGAGTGCTGCCACTTTCAAAATCACACAGGGGCAGCATTTCCCAGCATGACAATGAACACTGGAAAAAGAAACCGAAGGATCTGGTTTCTCCCTCCACCCCACTGGTCGTGAAAGGTGGCCTGTAGGCCAAGGACACTGAACCACCTCTTGCATCCCCTGATACTAGTACAATGTTCCGACTCCAGAGAATCACTTCCAGGACCCTACAATCAAATTCCCTGCTCTGGACCCCAGAAGCTTGGTTTCATTTTTATTTGAATTCAGTTTTAGAAACTGAAACCAAGTTGTCTGCAATAGGAAAACTGCTTGACTCACCATAGGGTTGCAAGGGGAATGGAAGGCACAGAGGAAAGCAAGAAGCTCATTTGCCAGTCGCAATGACTGGATCTCCCTGCTCCACTCTGATGGTCTGTTGGGTCAGAATCTGGCTATGAACACGACTTGGACCCATGCACCACTGGGCACATGAGTGACAGGAAAATGCTTAGAATGCATTTTCAACTTAGATGGTCACAGCAAAGGAAGTAAAAGCATGGTCCCTAAGGATGGATGGGAGAGGGCTAGCCAGGATAGGGGTGAGAGCATGTGCCCTCTGAGGCAATGAAGGTAGCTCTCCTGAGCAGCTGCTGAGGTTGCCAGTGAGGGTAGGGGTGATGAGAAGTCTGGGGCCATCTGCTATTTATAGGTTCCTTCTGCAAAGGCCTGCCAAGGAGCCTGGCAGAGAGGCAGACCTGCAAGGGGCCAGCCCAGCCTTCTGATGCCGAGTCTCCCTCTTCGAAGCTCTTCCACTTGCCTGCTCTAGTCTATACTTTCTGGTCTGGGTGTCTACACAGTTAAGGTGGGGATAGAGTTTGCATAGTGTTCTTAATCCCAGGTCTTGGAAAGTAGGGACGGGAGGACCAGATGTTCAAGGCCAGCCCGGGCACCTACCAGTCAGCCAGGCACCTACATGGCCTTGCAGGACAAACTGAATCACAAAACCACCCAGTGTCCTAATGATATACCTATCTCAAAAATAAAAACACAAACAAGCCACTTCCACATCCTGAAGTCACGCAGCTGGAAGGAAGCAGCAAGAGCAAATACCTCCTGGAAGTAGTTTGTAAGTGGAGTGGGGTGGTGGACACATCCATGGACCTGAGTGGGGCAGTGCTACCCCAGCACAGAAGCAGAGAGCACACAACCACAGGCACATGGGCTAGAAGAGGCTGAGCTGGGGGAGAATCTGGGTTCTAAGCCCAGCTTTTACCCACTATGGAACCTTCTGTTAGCCCCATCACCCGCCAAGGGCATCCCAGCCAGCACCACTCAGCATCTCCTTTCCCATGCTCCCCACAGAGGTGTCATCAGTGACCACTACCAGCCACACAAATTCAAGGAGCTCAAGACAAGCTTAGCCTGGGGAAACTGAGGCTGGGAGACCAGAAAAGGACATGGCCCCAGAGCTTCAAATGAGCCGTCCGGCAGCAATCTGAGAGAAACCTGTAGATGGCAGTGTGCGTCACTGTGAGGCACAGAGAAGCGTGCACGCAAACCTCACCCGCCTTCATTCATAAACACAGTCACCAGACAGGCACCTATTCATGGCCTTCCAGGACAAACTAGACACTGTGTCCTAATGATAGGTCTGACCGGTGCAGGCAGATGCTTGTTGGAACCTTGAGGGTGTCTATAAGATTGAGGAGAGGTTGGGAAGGCAGTTTGGGGGTTATGGATAAGAAAGCCTTATTATTATTATTTCGCACTGGGATCATTTGGAGGTGCCCAGCCATTGAGAATTACAACCCCGCTCCGAGCCTCAGTTTCTCCAG